TGTCCTAATTACGTGGATGATATCAATCACTAGCTAGTCTGATCCACGCATTATTTACAATCAACTCTTATATTGCTAGAATTCTGCTGAGTGCGATTTTAAAAAAAGATACTGGAGCCAAGGATCGAGTGTCAAACTCTCAACTTGTCAAACTCTCAAGTGTCTGAATGCAAGGCAAAGTGTCTGAAAAGTATACTATCCCAAAAAAGAAACGCATTGGCGATTTGTAATTTTATATAAAGTTTGTATAACAAATGACCGTCCCCGTACAGGCAGACCTAGAGTCACCACCGCAGCTCAAGAGTGGTACATCCGGGTACTACATTTGCGTGATCGTATTGCCACGGGTGAGAGCACAGCAGCCAGGGTGCCTGGGCTTTGGAGGATATCCAGTCAAACTGTACAGAACAGGTTGAGAAAGATTGGCCAGAAGCCCCGACGTCGGGACCCTTCTACGTCGTCACCATGGCGCTAAAGTGATGTAAAAATTCATGTACTAACGTCTTGTGGACGAGTTATACATGATTGAAAATACAACATTTTCACAACAGATTTCTGGGTCCTCTTTTTTAATATTATATATACATATATTTAAACCCTACACTCTCCAAGTGAGGAACCAAATCTCGAGTACCCACACTCGGAATGAACTCAACCCCCAAAATGCATTCACCAAAAAAGGCGTTCTATACTGAAGTGCATGAACGATGACCTGATCTCACCAAATGTGAAGGGCACGAAGAAAAATATGTATGGTGATATTCTGATACCACGTGATGTTACCATTTCGGATTAACGTGAAATAGGTCCTCATAAAGAAGCTTATAAATGCAAGAATATCCACAGTTATATTTGAATGCAGTTTAGTCCAACCTGTTGAGTTGGCGCTAAAATCTCCAGGATTAGACTTTCCTTACCCAATGTAGACATAAGCCAGTTTTGAGCCGATAAGTGATCCACGCAAGGGACTAATAAGGATTGTCTGATCCTCCTCACCACTCACAATTAGACACGACTTTTAAGTAGCCAAGAGCTTTCAGGAACTCTGCCGTTACTCATGGAGTGGTAACCAGCGTAAATCGATATGATCATTGAGTAATGGTTTTCTTTATGTCAAATTCAGTCATCTGATAAAGAATTTCATCTCTATTTCTGCTCTTATTGCTGCATCTGTAAAACACTAACCAGGTGTGTAATACTCTCTGTTGGTTTAAATGTCCTACATAGTTATATATTGTCATGAGCATTTTGTTCTGTAAAATACCAAGTTTGAGTGAGTGAGTGAGTGAGTTGCAAAATGGCTTAAATGATTTATCTTGGTATATCTTCAGCCTCTGGGGATTTTGTTCAATCATGATAAATAGTTAAACAAAATTTACCTGATTTACCCATCTGAATTAGAAATAAATGTGCCCAACAAAATCACCTTTTCTGTTTCTAATGTACGTGTGCACATAACGATCGTGCATAAAGAGTGACAAATGTATCTGCAAGATGGCTGACTGACAAGATGGATTACTTCAATTCCTCAAAGTCAACATTTCCTTAATACTCGGCAGTTTATCAGCTGCTCCCCATTTCACAATGTTTAGGTACAATCGAGCATGCTCGTGTTAGAAGTCTCCAAAGAATGACGTAAAGCTCATGTTTAAAACATGTTTGATAAGCGTATCAACTTTAGTGACCTTATCAATGATTTCAAAACTTACAGAAGTGTGGAGGTTATTTCAATTTGAGTATTTCGTCACCTAAATTATGTTGGATCGAATTCTATATTTTGAATTATGTTCCTATCTTTGTTAGTATTAACACTTGACTTGCCTTTGCGTGTGTTTCAGGCAAGTGTTGGGGTAGAATACGTTCACATTATAGCTAAACATGGTAACTTCACTGTGTACTAGAGATTCATAATTACATTCATATACAGAATCTTGCAATTACGTAGATTATCAAGAGATATGTCACTTTTATTCATTGTGGATCACCACGATGGTTATTTATTCTGCCTTAGTTTAGTTGTTTACGGATAATAATTAAGTCCAAATTGTCAGAACCTGATGAACTGAATTCTTTGTAGGACGTGATTCACTGCAGTTATTTACGCATATGTTTTATCTTCAATTAACAAAAGTAGATTATGATTTCCTGATTGGCCGATACAAATTGGCATGAGTTTATGTTGTATTATTGCACAGAACGAGTCCCGCCGTGATATTGCTAAAAGCAGCGTTAAACCATACTCACTCACTCACAGAACGAGTCACATTTTCTGATTTAATGTGTACAGTTTGGCGGTATGTAGTCGGTCAAGTTATTATTTTTTAAACATTTATGTGTTTAATAACTTTGTTATTGTGTATTAAATATTACAATCTGGTGCGCACAGTTTGTGTTACTTTCCTACGCGAGATTGCATATAGGTTTTCATGTTTATGCCTCTAAACATAAATATGTCAAACGATCCTTGTTTTAAATTTCAGATACACTGATGAAGTTCAACTGAACCTAACGTTTATTGATTCACAAGGTTCCAGACAGTGGTTGGGGGATAACCGATCAGGTTATGATTTGAAAATCGAAGTTTGATATCTCAGTTGGTAGGCTTGTCTCCGCGGGAATTGCCATACATTTCAGCTATTTAGAATGCCAAACGTATCTTATAAGACACTGTAGCTTGAGGTTGAATAATTCGAGTGAGTGAGTTAATATTTAACGTCACACCGGCAATAATTCAGCCATATCGTGACGAGAACACATTTGACATTGAAATGGAATATGTGTATATTATAAAAACCTGTCATCAAAGTACACTAAAACAACTAGAATATCACAATTAGAATAATATTAAAGCTACTGTGGAAAATTAAAACTAATAGCACAATTTGGACACTACAATATATATTGAATAATTCGAAGGCACTTTTGTCATGTATTTATGTATCTCAGAGATAATCAATTTCATACGGCGTTGCGTGGGTGTCAGGGTCTGGGGAGCAGTGTTGTTTCCTTTTCTTTCATGTTGTCAAAAAATGTCTAAAGGTTCATCTATTCCGAAGTGACATTTTCCCCCTTCAATACATTGTAGCTGATGATTAGTCAAATGGGAAAGAGACTGTGTCAAACGGGGTGAGACTAAATAGTACTTCCTAAATACGATGAATGTGGTAGACTTCCAGAAATAAAAAGTTTTGTTTCTTCTCCACTACTTTCAAAATGACCTTGTATGTGTTTGTGATGGCATAACGGGCCACCAGGATACGCTCACCTTTTCACAAACGCCTAAGATAATCACTATTCGGTAGTGATTCAGAACATATGAGTTTGATGTACTCAGAATCGTGAAATTAACTCTTTTTTCGTAGACATTTCTTATGATTAGTTTAAACATATTTTATTCGAACAGTGAAAAGGATCGGGGACAAGTTCTTGCAACTTATAAAACCCCTCTCCAAAGATATTTAGAATAACTAATTACATCAGAAGCAATTATTAGAAACAGAGACAGAGGAAGCTTGACAGTTCAGGGAAATGTTATAATGTTATAAGGTGTTAGAAAGAAGACTACTGAAATCGTTTACATTTGCTTATATACTGATGTACCTTTTTTAATATAATTTTTATGATTTGTCAGATCTGCAATGTCGTTTAAAATAACAGATAGAGTAATCACAGAATTACTAGCACATACATCTTGAATAGCTTTAAGCAGGATCTTTCCATGTTGATTCTAAACAGAACATTCTAAGAAATAGTGATGAGCATTTTCCCATGGGTTACCACATGCGCAGGGTGGATCAGTGATTAGCCTTACTATGTACAGATCGTAACTTAACGTAACTTCTTCTGATTATTATAAGGATTGTGTTCGCTTGTACGCTGAAGCTTTTTCGAGGTAGTGTCTCTATGTACCGCCGGGTACATGTTACTACTTGCATTGCAGAGACTGAATTACCACTCAACCTGTCCGTTTGACGTAAGCTGTCTGGAAGGGAGTGACCGCATTTGTCCTCAATTCTGAGCTGATTTAACCCTCAGGACTATGTCATTAAAATCAGATATTTTACTGTGATACAATTTATACCCATGGGCCCAGACCTGATTACTGGCCAACAGTCGTCGTACAGATGTAATATTGACTATTATTACCCACGTGGTCAACGTATGGGTAGTTGCATATTAATCTCGTACGTCACACGAGTGTCGTATCGCGTTGACCTGTGTCGTAACGACTTGACCTGAAATTCTAACGATTTGATTGGATAACCGATGACCTCTCAATTAGGTCACATTCTGACGTAACTATTTTTTCATTCATAACAAACACGTGAATTCATTCATTCTACAACCTAAATGCATTGTGGGAATGTAAACATTGCGAACGTTGCCGTGTCGCTGTTTAATTGTGAGTCGAACTGAGACATTATATCAGTCGAAAAACATAAACGCAATGTTTCCACCAGTGATGTTAGCCGAATGAAGCAACTGGAAACCAAGAAACGAGGTGCAACGGAGTAGTTTACTGTAGGAGGCTGTACGAGGCGATTACAACTGACATGCATCGTGACGTCGGTTACCATGGCAGTGACGTCATTAGTGTGACGTCATGCAAATATTGTACTACAGTACAAAACTCTTCCGCAACCTCTTTATGAAACCGGTTTCGGTTGGAAACCAAAAACATAACAAAAATACGCTATTTTGTCAATTTAAATGCACGTAAGACGTGGGTAATAAATAAAATACCACACTCGGTCTCATTACATACGAATTATACGAAACTCGTGACCTTCCTATGTTATCTGACCTCGCTTTCGCTCGGTCAGATACCATAGGAAGGACACTCGTTTCGTATAATTCGTATGTAATGAGACCTCGTGTAGTATTCTCTATGTACAGCATCGATCGACACTGAATTTCCTAAGATATCTACAACTGATGATCGGAAGCGAGGACAAGTTCTCATGTGAGACATAAAACAACAAACAAACAAACAGTTTATTCAATTTCTCACACTTAGACGTGCAATGTGAACAACAGTTAACATCGTGTCCTTCATGTTTTCATCCAGGAAGATCATAGAGAATACTACACGAGGTCTCATTACATACGAATTATACGAAACGAGTGTCCTTCCTATGGTATCTGACCGAGCGAAAGCGAGGTCAAATAACAAAGGAAGGTCACGAGTTTCGTATAATTCGTATGTAATGAGACCGAGTGTGGTATTTTATTTATTACCCACGTCTTACATGCATTTAAATTGACAAAATAGCGTATTTTTGTTATGTTTTTGGTTTCCAACCGAAACCGGTTTCATAAAGAGGTTGCGGAAGAGTTTTGTACTGTATATACAAGATTTGCATGACGTCACACTAATGACGTCACTGCCATGGTAACCGACGTCACGATGCATGTCAGTTGTCATCGCCTCGTACAGCCTCCTACAGTAAACTACTCCGTAGCACCCCGTTTCTTGGTTTGCAGTTGCTTCATTCGGCTAACATCACTGGTGGAAACATTGCGTTTATGTTTTTCGACTGATATAATGTCTCAGTTCGACTCACAATTAAACAGCGACACGGCAACGTTCGCAATGTTTACATTCCCACAATGCATTTAAGTTGTAGAATGAATGAATTCACGTGTTTATTATGAATGAAAAAATAGTTACGTCAGAATGTGACCTAACTGAGAGGTCATCGGTTATCCAATCAAATCGTTAGAATCTCAGGTCAAGTCGTTACGACACAGGTCAACGCGATACGACACTCGTGTGACGTACGAGATTAATATGCAACTACCCATACGTTGACCACGTGGGTAATAAATTCTCTTCCCACAGAGGTTACTCCTGCCATATCTTCCTACGTAATCTCTGTTCTAATACGGACATATTTCTCGGTTCTCGTAAAATCCCCTAGCGGCAGAAAATCGCAACACGAATTATCTCCCTTCTTTATAGCCAATCCGATCACGTGCTACATCGACTAATATCCAATATGGCGGCCGCAATGGAGTTAGTTGATCAACGTGCGAGGGATAGATTCGGTATTTCATGTTTTACTGTAAAGCAGAAACTAGCGCAATAGAGAGTGCAGGAATCATCAACAAGATGTTTTTGTTGATACGACATACAAGACATTCAATGGCCAACATGTCCGTTGTCAGCGAGGGCGATGAAGACGCCTTTCATCCTCCATTACAAGACTGGGTTCTTTCTGTAAGAAACGTGCGCATCGTGATGGGGAAGAGGTTCTAGTTTTCCCGAAGCACACGGAAATAACCGAGGCTTTGCGAACTCACTTTTGAAACAACATCGCTGATTGCACAAACAAATCTGATTGCAACCAATCACGAATCCAGAACACTCGCACCATGAAAGGGCCGTATTGGAACAGAGGTTACGTAGGACGAGTATGACAGGAGTAACCTCTGTGGGAAGAGAATGCCAGGAAGATATACCAGCGCCTGAATCAATTCCCTCATTCGCAGGGCGTACTGGACGGAGTAGTATAATTTACGGATTAGATCAACGACCGATATTTACTGTCCCTCATCAAGGAATAATGAGTTATAACGTTCCGTGGGGTCACGTGGTTGGAATTAGTCTCCATCAAACTTGACATCAAAGGCGACTAAATGGATCCTGTGGTCAGGCTCTCTGACTTTCTAATGTGTGTCATGGTATCTCAGTTGCGTAAATCAATGATAATGATGTTATTTTGTGGGTTGTCTTGTTCGAGAATATCCGCTCTGGAACTGATATTACTGAATGCTGACAACCTAATTCTTACCATAACAGGATACTAACGGCATCGGGTGCTCAGGATTGCCATGGTGTTACAATTGCACAGATCAATGTTCCTTATGTGTATCACTGGATTCTCTGGTCCAGACCCGATGACTTACAAGCATCTATAATAGTGTGTAGTGCAGTGTTAAATGAAAAAGTCAGGCAAATCAGTTGTTAATGAGCAGTTTAAATGAGAAAAAATATCTTTATGGAAATCGAGCTGGAATTATACAGATTTCGGTGTCAGACAAAAAAAATGAAATGTCAATTCCTTATTGGAGAATTTGTTATGAGGAACAGATTCTTTATGAAAAACAATTGTTAATGTGCAGCGTAAGTGAGAAACAAAACGATTATGAAAATATAACTAGACTAATGAAGAGTTCGGTGTCCGACAAGAAACAGGGCAAAACCAATTTTTGTGAGTTAAAATTTATAGTCACTTTGGCAATATTTCAGCCATATCGTCTTAATTGGAGAATGTGTTGCAATAAAACATAGGTTGCAACATGACTATAACTTCGGCTTCAAGTTAATGGTTAAATAGTTCAATTTTGTAGAAGTAATTCACCTACCTACTAAGACATGGATCCAGGGGTACGCTTTGCATGTCATATTGTTGCATTGAAGGGGTCACTCATTTCCATTTCCTGTGTAGAGTCCACTGCGTACTAATGCTTCCATAAGCAGTTATTAAATTGTTATTTCTGAATTGTGTATGTATAAGGATTCACTTGGTTTTGTGTTTCGTTTTGTGCACGTTTTGAGTTCAAGCCCTACAAAATAGATTTACACAGTATGGTAATGATGTTTGTTTATTATATGCCTTCAAAAAGTACCAAAAAAACCCCGAAAAACATATTTACACTAAATTCGTAAATGTTCCATCTGAATGTTCCCTGTTGTTAACAGCAGATATACTGTTGAAGTCCCACCTGACCGAAAGTCTGTTGATTACAAGGTTACAGACGGATATTGGGGGATAACCTGAGATCAGGATATGATCTGGAAATCGAAGTTTAATTCTCAGCTGGTATATGTCTTGCGGACAGGCTTGTCTGAGCAGGAAATGTCAGACATTTCAGCTGTTCAAAATGCCAATCTGATCTTTTAAGACACTGTAGCTTAGACATTTAGAAATGGCAAATGTTTCAGGAGCATTACAGTGTGTGTCAAATTGGTATTATATATTATGTTTACAATGAAATTGTCCTTTTCGTAAACATTTACGTTTTTCTAAATTGCAAGTTTTTCATATATGTTTAAGGGTGTTTTTGCAACGATGTTCTCGTAAATTCGAGCTTTTAATTATAAAAATTGTACGAGAGAAATATCGAAAATACTAGAAATAACGAGAAAACAATCGAAATTATATCGAACATGTATTTGTACTAACGACAATAATTGATAGATCGAGAATTTTGAGTGAACAAACCTGGTGTATGCTACCAATGCCAATCATTAGGTTTCGCCATGTTTCCGCTTCACAAAGGACATTGTTTTCCCGAGCCAAGTTCTGTCTCTGCCCCGTTGTGTCGGTATTCATGGAGATACCCAAAAATAATGAATGTTGCTCAATCGTAATTTACGTATTTCATTTAAAAAAGACCGCCCCGTGGTGTAGTGGTTAGAGCGTCCGCCCGGTGAGCGGAAGTTCGCGGGTTCGATCCCCGACAGCGTCATACAAAAAGACGTTAAAATATGGTACTTGTTGGTCCCTGCCTGGCGCTCGGCATTAATGGGTACAACAAGGACAGGTCGGCTCGGAGTCAGTATACTGTGTCTGATTGGGGTATTCATGCTTCACTGCGGCATGGTATCTCAATGGGCTAGCACAATAAAACCAGCTTAAGTCTGGGCTAGTACAAGCAGCCGCACCTACACATATACACGCATGAACGTCGTCATATGAGCGAAATATTCTCAAGCACGACGTTAAACCCAATTTCACCTCACCTCACCTCACCTCACCTCACCTCACCTCACCTCATTTAAAAAACAAATACTACATCTGACCAGTTCCTCGCCCTTGTGAGATGTGACTGAGAAACATCCATTTTTTGATTGTTGCCTTGTAAATCTTAGGGATTGACTGTTGATATCTGGGAAGCTGGGATATTGCTGGCTTCACTCTGTGCTCACGTGATGGAGTCAATTGACGGTTTTACTGTGACATAGATCCTAACAGAACCTAGATTCGACAGGTCGACAGATTCGGCGGCGAGAGTGTACATCAACGAAGTCCTTGCACGTCACATGCTTCCGATTATGGACCGACAGAGAGAGTTGTTCCAGCATGACAACGCCACTTCACATACAGCACGTGTCTCAGTCCGCTACCTTGCCAGCTACCTTGCCAATTCTAAAATCAATGTCTTGCCATGGCCTCCCCGATCACTAGAACTAAACCTGATAGAACACCTATTGGGTGAACTTGATCGGCGTGTACCTCAACGTCAAAACACGTCTCAGACACTTCCACAACTGGCCATGCATTTCAGGAAGAGTGGGGAATTCCACAAGAGCGACTTCGTCGACTTATCCAGTCTGTGCCGAGAAGGTTCCGAGCAGTAATTGCTGCCAATGGTGGCGATACAAAGTTCTGATTTTGACGCTATCTTGTGGTCTCGAATAAACATGAACACAACAATAAAGGCTGATGTTGTATTGGCGAACTCTTTGTGAATAGACGTGTGAATTGTCATATTTTTACCATTGAACTTACTTGAAATAATTGCTCTTAGACTAACGTAATAAATTCTTATAAAAATGGCTTACGCGTTTCTTTTTAATTTTTTTTTGAAGAGTGTTATTCGGAATTTAATGGACATGTTTTGTCACTTGTATTTGTTATGCAATGTCGAGCTGTCTTGTATTCAGATAGTGCCTGTACATTGCAGTACAACCATTTTTAGAGATGGAATTACGACTCGATCTGTACATGACTGAGGCTGATTTAAGAGGAATGACCTCGCTTGTATTCAAATAGATTCAGAGCAGATTCAACCCTGAGGGTAATGTCATTAAAATCCGATGTTTTATTCTGATAGGACGTTGCAATGCCTAAAGATTTGACAGCCCCTCAGTGAAAGCACACGTCATGTGAACACTAAGCGAACTTTGATGGTGTAATCTGAATCGCGGATGCGTGGGTTATTACGTCAATCGATTCTGCTTCATTTCTTGATGAGGAATTTTTCACTAAAAATATATGTCAGACAAATCTGTATCGATTACCCGTTGCAACAGATACCTTTGGACGTAAATGGCTAAACAACCATAAAGATTGTTGATTTGTAATGGATACGTTTGCGTACAGGTTGATAGTACCTGTTTGTACAGTCACGTGTGTGTGAGTGCTTACCTAATTTGACCTGTACAGAGTTGTCCGTTGGGCTAAAACTTATTTAAGATGAGTTACCTCAATCGTCTTCATTCTGAGCTAATTCGACCCTGAGGGTAGCACACTTAAATTGGATATTTCACTCTAATACGATACCACCACTCCTACAACACCATCAGACCCCAGCCCATAAACGCTCTTGTCAGCCGAACCTTGAAGGAAGTTTGAAAGCCTATTTCTGACTCACAGGTGCCTAGGTTATTGATATATAGAGATTACTAAACGAGTGTCTGTCAGATACCATTTATCTTACAACGAGTTGTTTCAAAACGTATTTAACGAGCGAAAGCGATTTAAATACCTTTCGAAACAACGAGTTGTAAGATAAATGGTATCTGACAGACACGAGTACAGTAATTTGTTTCTTACACACCATAAAATCTCACCATTTTATGGTCGAATAGATTCATATTTCATATTTTCTCATCGTAGCTTCGCAATAATACACAACACAACGATTATGAATGAGTGACGTCACTTGGCTTCCTAATCACTACTCATCCCAATGGTGACCCTCCACAAAAAAGTTTCTGCCCCCTCTTCGCATCATAAAGGCGTGATAATAAAAACTAGATAACATCACAGAAAATTAATTAAACACTCTAAAATGATGATGTTACAGTGCAAATGTGGATGATTTTAATTCTTGCAAGCAAAAAATATTTGAGCGTGTGACGTCATCGTTATCGCTTGGTGGTTGTCGTCATCGGAAGATTGTTTCGGATATCTCTGCACATTGGGGATCTGTACTTGAACAGTTTCTGTTCAATGTTCTCCCATCGACCGGAGCCAAAACTATTGAGTGTGTGTAATTAGGTGCACCCAATGTGCTTGAATGTGACATTGCTGAGGTTACGTTCACTGTCAATGGGGGACTACTCTTCTTCGCCACATCCTTCTTGTTTTCCCGAGCCAGAAACTGCCACTTGGAATGTAACGGAGTTGTCAGTATGAAATGTGAGTTGATAACATCCTGTATGTTATCAAGACATAAACTTTGCATTATCATGCGTCGGAGGAATATCTTGAGCAATGACTTATGTGTAGATCAACCGTTCCTGTACATGTTCGATTGAATAGAAAGGACGTGTGCCGCCATTTGCACTCATGAAGCCTAGCAAAACGTTCCATGTTGATACATTGTTCCAGCGAGTGTGTTTTTGTTTTGATTGTCATGAGTGAATTTAATAACATTGGAATCTCATAGTAGCTCGAAGTTGGAGGTGGGTCTTCATCATGTTTACCAGTGAAAAATGTCATCTTCATCAATGCATCAAAGAAACAACGAGGCAAATCGATCTCACAATGGACAGGCACTGACGTTATCGTGTCAGGTATTTTTGCAAGACGATACATGACACTTGTCGCATCTCTCCAGTAAAAGTACCAATGTTGTACATTTAGAATATTCGAAGGGAATCCCGGTCTTAATTTCTAACGGCGATTTTCACATAATTGTTTACACAGGTATCACTGATTGTTCGAGCCGTTTTGAATTCATGACTGGAAATCTAAAGTGTTAATAAAAGGAATTAGAAAATAAATAGATTCGTGTTATATTTATTCTAATTGTGTTTCATTGTATACATACCTGTTTATGTTACAATCGCGAAAATAACAGGTAGGTGTAAAGGGGTATTTTTTGCACGAGTAACGGGTTTCTGTTCGATTGAAGCCCTAGCAACTTATCAATGAAGTTTAATCAGGAAAGTAGTCCGTCATAACCTGACCCTAGGTCATCACCATGGAGTAGCCAATCACGGGATTAGAGATCGATCTCACACATATGTGTGAAACCAGTTTTCTCACATGGGTTTCTCACCCACGGGTGTGTTAGAAAATTGATTCCGCTTCGTCCCTGATTGCGTTCACAAAAATATGTAACGTCAACGACAGAGAACAATGGGAACCAGCTGAAACAGATTCCGCTATGTGTAAAATATAACAGCAGGCGTGGGCAGAATGTTTGTTTGTTCAGTGTTTAACTCCACACTCAGCAATACTCGAGCTATGTAGCGAAGGTATGTAAACAATCGAGTCTGGGCCACACAATCCAGTGATCAACAAGATGAACATCGCAAGCCTAAACACTCGGTCCCGTTAGTCGCGTCTTACAACTGACTGAGTTTGGTTTTACGCCGCTTTTAGCAATATTCCAGCAATATCACGGCGGGGGGACACCAGAAATGGGCTTCACTCATTGTACCCATGTGGGGATTCGAACCCGGGTCTTCGGCGTGACGAGCCAACGCTTTAACCACTAGACTACCCCACCGCCCCCTCTTACAACAAGCATACGGGAACAGGAACTATAGAACTGAGGCACCAACCACATATGTTCAATCATGATTACATGCGGTACTTGTTGTCATTTCCGGATTGGATAGTCCTCCAATTCCTCCTGATCGTAACTGCCATCGATATGGTGTAACCACACATATGATCAGTACGCTGAAGCGTCAACAGGGTCTAAAGAGCTTCCTTCCTCTCCAGAAGCTGATGTAAAGGGTAGCATTATCTGCAGAAGCCTTGGGGATTAGGTCACCAGTCACCAACGCTTGCTAGAAACGAATGAATGGATCTTAGTAGTTTTGTTGATTATATAGCCCCGTACCACTCTAGGGCTTCATATTCATTGGTCCAGACTTGCTTATTGAACGGCAGCCAAGAAGGTGGAATATTGACCAGACCGGCATCGACTTACACAGCATTTCACAAAGTGCAGTTTTAAAATCTCGACAAATGAGGCGAAAACAACAAGCAGATAAACAGTAACTTCAATTTCTCACACTTGTATGTATAAGGGGAACAACAATCAGTGTTGTGGTCCCAATGTCGGCATCCATGAATAATCAACACCGTATGAATCACGCCCCTCTTCCTCCGGGCGGTTGTGGAGCGAAATGAACAATGTACGGATTAGATAGGCGACATATATTTAGTGTCTCTCATTAAGGGATCACGAGTTTAACACTCCGTTGGATTCCTTGTAGGAATTAATCACAATCAACCTATGGTTGTCGTAAAAGGCTAAATGGATCTTGTGGTCAGGCTCTCTGACTTGCTTGATTTGTATGGTGGTATCCAAGTTCCGTGAATCAGTGATAATTCTGTCATGTTGTGGATTGTCTGGTTAAAGAATATCCTTATTCAGACTTGCTGACTTGGTCAGACTTGCTGACTTGATTGACTCAATGTATTCAAATAAGGTCGTTCCTCTTGATGTCAGTCATTGGATTGACCTGTCCAGATGCGTTAATTTATAGATATATTGTATTGCTGAAATAGGGTTTTGATCGGCATTAAAAAAATATAAATAAATAAACAACATGAACAAAACAAAAACAAAAACAACAAAAAAACTTTCAAAACAGTTTATCAATGAGCAATGTATATGAGAAACAATTTAGGTATGAGAAATATTTGCAGATAATCGTCACATAGTTGGATTATTGCTGTGTGCAACACAAACAGATACTAAACAGCTCAGATATGGATGTAACTGACATGCCAGATATATGTCGTCATACGTTTCTGCAAGATGTATGTCATCATGGGTTCGGGACGGTGGGGTAGCCTAGTGGTTAAAGCGTTGGCTCGTCACGCCGAAGACCCGGGTTCGAAACCCCACATGGGTACAATGTGTGAAGCTTATTTCTGGTGTCCCCCACCGTGATGTTGCTGGAATATTGCTAAAAGCGGCGTAAAACCAAACACAGTCAGTCAGTCAGTCAGTCATCATGGGTTCGAAACCCAGACTCACACGAACATGTGTCAACGTTTTGCAGCACCATGCCCGCACTTTATTCCAGCATGTTGTCCATAGCATAAGATATTTATCACTTGGGGACTTCTAATTAATCTGCCACTACCTGAAACTATAGTTAGTTAATTAATCAACGTTTGAAATATCTGAATCCGAGACTAAGAAAGTAATGTGATATAAGTCACTCATTCATAACAGGCCCCCATTTGGGCTGGAACTGGTCCTGAGCAGCCCGGCATGTTGTAAAAAGGCGTCTTACGTCATCGGCTTGCTAACTGGTGTGACATGACGTGTAACAATGACGTGGATGATATAAGTCACTCGCTTGTCTGATCCAAACAAGATTATCATGACACTGCATCACTGTTACTGGACTGTTTAGTATGGATTTACAAAAATGATATATGACCAGTAACTGACTCAAACCGACACTCTTACAGTGAGAAACCAACTCGCGAGCACACACTCTCGGATGGGACTCAACCCCCAAATCCCATTCACTCAAAAAGGCGTTATGTATGTATGAAAGGAGTGTATGGACGATGATCTGATCAAACCAAATTTGAAGGGCATGACGAAAAACACCTTGTACCACGTGGTGGAACCATTTCGGGATAATGCGAAATATATACGTGTTGTATGGAATTTGGAAAGAAATAGCTTTGGATCACTGATAGTGGTTCTGATTGTTACTGTGAATCTGATCATACGGGATGGAACGAGTGAGTGAGTGAGTTAAGATTTAAAGTCACATCGGCAATATTGCAGCCATATCATGACTAAAACTAGTTCTAAATTTGTAATACATACATATAATATATAAAACCCTGTCAACGAAGGACAGTAAAACCACTAGATTATCACAGATTGAGTTAAAACTAGCTAGCATACTTCTTTAAAAGTCTAAAGATTATTTCTGGACAATACAATGTAAAAATGGGCTATAGATCGCCAACAACTGAAGGTAGATCACCATACCTGATTACTGGCCCCGTTTTCTGGTTGTAGAAGGTGTTGATGGTGAATCCCTCAAAATCAACCCTTTTGTTGTATCAAAATCAATTGAAGGCATTTGTGGCAACGTGAAGAATGTCACCCGTCTCCGCTCCGGTTCCTTGCTAGTTGAATGTGCACGGAGACAACAGTCTCTAAATCTGCTCAAGGCACATCATTTTGCAAATACTGAGATTGTTGTCTCAGTGCACAAAACCTTAAATTCATGTAGAGGCATTGTTCGTGACCGTGCGAAGTGTCTCTCAGACATGTGTGAGGAGGAAATTGCAGCAGAGTTGAAGAATCAAGGTGTAACATCAGTGAAAAGGTTCACTAGGAAAGATGGTGACAGAATTATACGCACAAACACCTACCTTTTCACATTTGCACTTTCAAAAATCCCTTCTTCTATCAAAGCCGGGTATATCAACATCGGCGTGGATGTGTATATACCAAATCCACTCCGGTGTTTCAACTGTCAACAGTTTGGTCATGGAGCAAACTCTTGCCGTAACTCCCAAGTTTGCTCCCGCTGCAGTAAGAAACATGACAGCACAGACTGTACAGATATCATCAAATGTTCAAACTGCAGCGGAGACCACATGTCATGTTCAAAATCATGCCCGTGTTATGTGAAACAAAACCAAAACCTCGCAATCAAGTACACTAAAGGAGTCCACTTCCACTTCTGCACTATCATACTCTGCTGCTGTTTCCTCTTCACCTCCAAAGGTTGATCAGGGATGCCAAACAGCAGTTACCTGGATCACTGATGTACAGGATATTCTTTACGATATTGAGGCTGGAGCTATGTATTCTTCTTCTTCGTCCACATCAGCTTCTAAAACTATCCTGTCTTCTGAAACAATACCAGCAAGGACTATGCCTGAGCCTGCAATTGAACCTGAACCTGTTACTGATGTGAAAAGAAATCCGCCACTTTCAAAAAAGGAAAAACCAAAAATCAAGAAAAAAGAATCAAAGGGCCTCACACATGCTGAGGTGCCTTTACCATTGACTGTTCCTCTGGAGGTTCATAACGTCTTTGAACCTCTGGATATGGAGATCACTCCATCGCTAACATTACAGCGTAAAGGACCACCTTCTCGCTCACGATCTCCGATTGAAGCTCCATGAGCTGCATGCCAAATTTAATACAATGGAATTGTAGAGGTCTTCGGAATAATTTTACTGATCTACAGCTATTAATTCAAGATTTAAAACCATCTGCTATTTGTTTATAAGAAACATTCCTCAAAACCACAAATAAAATTGATTTAAGACAGTATGACTCATATCACCACTTTTCGCCCCCAGGTGATAAAGCAACTGTAGGATCGTCTGTTTTGGTGAGGACAGGGTGTCATTCATAGTCCTGTCCCTCTCAACACCCCTCTCCAGGCTGTTGCAGTTCGTATGACATTAAATCTTGTGTTCACGTTATGTTCTTTATACATTCCACCGTCGTCTTCAACAGTCTGATATTCAGGCACTTTATGACCAACTCCCGAAACCCTGTGTCATCATGGGAGATTTAAATGGTCATAACCCACAGCAATGCAAAAGGTAAAGTACTGGAGGATTTTTTCTTATACAACGATTTATGCATATTTATTGATGGTTCTCATACATATCTACATCCAGGAACTGGAACTTACTCTTGTCTGGATTTATCCATTGTTGACTCTAATTTACTGATTGAATTTAAATGGTCAGTTCACGATGACCTCTGTGGAAGTGACCATTTTCCCACCATATTGAAATCTGTGACACCTTCTGATATTCCTCCATCATCACGATGGAACTTTGCTAAAGCTAACTGGGATTTGTATGAAATTCGTTGTTCTGCTAAACTTACACCTGGTGCTTTTCTTGATGTTCCCGACCCTGTAACACTCTTCTCTAACGAACTTCTTAAAATAGCTGATGAATGTGTTCCGAAGTCCTCTTCCAATCAACACATACGTAAACCATTGTTTACCGCTGACTGCAAACAAGCTAGGAAGGCCCGGAAGAAAGCTGAACAGTATTTCCGTTGCCATCCTATGGTCCACAATTTAAATAAGTTCAAAATTTTAAATGCTAAAGCAAGGCGTACTATTAAACAAAACAAACGCCAGTCTTGGCAAAATTATGTTTCAAAAATAAATTCACGTACGCCAATGTCAAAGGTATTGAACATGATCCAGAAAATCAAAGGTAAGGGTTCTAAATCTAGCATTCACCACCTGAAAGATGGGAATCAATTATTGACTAATAAATCAGACATTGCTAGCAAACTTGGTGGGACTTTGTCCAAACATTCTTCCTCATCTAATTATGTACCTGCATTCCAAAAATATCAAAAACAGCAAGAAAAGAAATCTATCAATTTTACTTCAGATAATGGGGAAGATTATAACGAAACCTTTTCGATACATGAACTTCACACTGCTCTTGACCAGGCTCACGATACTGCTTCAGGAGATGATGGTATACATTATCAACTACTAAAGCACTTACCGGATTCATGTTTAGAGACACTTTTACATATTTTGGATGACATTTGGACATCTGGAAATTTTCCTTCCTCGTGGCACGATGCCATAATTGTGCCCATCCCTAAACCTGGACGTGATCATACTGATCCCACGGCTTTGAATTTTCCAAGTCCAAAACTAATTGCCTACACTTTTGTAGAAAATATAAGCCGCATAAAGACACCGAACTATCTTTAAATGGCACTCCGATCAAAGTTGTCAAGGAGGCCAAGTTCTTGGGTCTAATTTTCGACTCTCATTTAACTTTTTTGCCGCATATTAAATCCCTTAAAGCCAAATGCCTGAAGGCACTCGATTTGTTGAAAGTCGTTTCCAACTCAAAGTGGGGAGGGGATCAAGCTACCTTCCTCCACCTATATCGATCATTGGTCCGCTCGAAACTTGATTATGGCTCCATCGTATATGGTGGAGCCTGCAAAAGCAACCTAAAACTACTTGATTCTGTCCACCATCAAGGCCTAAGACTTTGTCTTGGGTCCTTTAGAACCTCTCCTATTGATAGTCTCTATGTTGAAGCAGATGAGCCTTCTCTTACACAACGCCGTATAAAATTATCTTTACAATACATTACTAAACTATATTCTAGCGAGTTTAACCCTGCATTTAACTGTGTCTTTAATCCCCTCTATGGGGATTTATACAACAAAAAACCTTCTCTTGGTCCGCCTCTTTGGCACAGAATAAAGCCCTTTATTTCTGCTGCCGGCATTGAGCTGGAAAATACAGCTCCTTCCCGTCTTCTTTCTTCTCCGCCTTGGCAACTGGTGAGGCCTGAAGTTGACCTAACTCTGACAAAGTTTAAGAAATCTGTAACTAATGAATTACAATATAAACAAGAATATAATCAATTAAAAAATAAATATAATACAAACAAATCCTTATTTACAGATGGGTCCAAGGATGGTGGCGCGGTGGCTTGTGCCACTGTCATTGGATCCCAAACAATATCTTCTCGACTTCCAAATAACAGCTCTATTTTCACAGCAGAAGCTAACGCCATATTAACAGCTCTTAAATATATTAATAAACACCGTAAATATGAACAATACATCATCTTTTCCGATTCTCTTTCTTGTCTTCAGGCTATTAAAAATCTTTCTTGTAAACATCCACTTTTATTAGAAATTATTGAATTGTATAATGAGCTTGCTACTGGCCAATGCGACATCGTCTTTTGTTGGTTACCCAGCCACGTTGGCATTTCTGGTAACACAATGGCTGATCTTGCTGCTAAGGCAGCACTCAACAAATCTGTGACACCACTTCTGATCCCATACTCTGATTACAAAGCTGCTATAAGATCTTATATCCGTGACCTGATGCAAAAGAAGTGGGACAGCCAAGTAGGTATCAATAAATTACATGCAACAAAACCAACTATCGGTTACACCTACTTGGGTTGTCAGTCGAGAATTGGAGAGGTCATCATACGACGATGTCGTATTGGCCACACAATATATACTCATGAGTACCTATTAAAAGGTGAGGATTCTCCGTTTTGTATCCCTTGTGATGGAAGAATCACGGTCAAGCATGTCCTGCTTGACTGTGTTGAATATTCCATCACAAGGGATATCTATTTCAAAGTAAAAACTATGAAGGATCTTTTTAGTAATATAAGTTCTCATTTAATTATTGCATTTTTAAAAGAATTAAACTTGTTAACTGATTTGTAAATAGATACATATTTTATTATTGGTAGTTTAGATTAGTAACTGAGATTGTTAGTGGCTGTACGCTCAAAGGGGGTTGAAGTAGTGTAAAATTATTGTCCTCCTGAGAGGGTACGTAAGTCCCAAAATGTTCAAAGTCCATTTAAACTTGCCAGGAATTTTAAACGTAGCATTCTTGTCATTTTAATTGTGGTGAACATTTCTTACAATCGCCAGCAGCTGAAGGGATGGTGTAAATCCAACTAGGGTCCATGCAGGTAGCCAAGGTACTGTAAGTCCCCATGGTCCCTAGTTTGGTGATCTACCTTCTGGTGTTGGCGATCTATAGCTTGTTTTTATATTGTATTGTCCAAATAGTGCTATCAGTTTTAACTCTCCATACCAGTTTTAGTTGTAATTTTGATATTCTAGTTGTTTTACTGTCCTTCGTCGACAGGTTTTTTATAATATACATAGATTTCGTTTCAATATAAAATGTTCTCGTCACGATATGGCTGAAATATTGCCGATGTGACGTTAAATATTAATTCACTCACTCACTTACATTGTATTGTCCAAAAATAGTTTTCTATTTGTAACGATATGTGCTAGCTAGTTTTAACTCATTTTGTGATAATCTAGTAATTTTACTGTCCTTCGTTGACAGGGTTTTATATAGTATATGTATGTATTATGAATTTAAAGCTAGTTTTAGTCACGATATGGCTGAAATATTGCCGATGTGACTTTAAATTTTAACTCACTCACTCACTCTATACTGTATCATTTCAGTTGTTTAGGGGATAATAAGTCAGGCCAAATTGGCAGAACCTCGTGAACTCTCTGGGAAATTTACAATAATTTGTAAGAAGTGATCAACTGCAGGTATATATGCGTATGTTTCCTCTTCAATAGGCAGAAAACAATTAGCCACCCACAAATACAGACTACAATTTTCTGAGTGAAGGATGAGGACTATTTTTATGGATATACAACGTCTTTATTCTGTATAGGCGACGTTTCGACATAGATTCTAATGTCGTTGTCAAGCAAGTGACGACAACTATAAAAATAGTCCTCATCCTTCATCCACCCAACTTCTAGAATGCCAATCAAAGAAGTCAATGTTCTGAGTGGCTTAAAACAACCGAACCGACGTTTATGTTGAACTATTGCACTGAACGAGACTGGTAAGCAGTCGGTCAAGTTATTATTTTTGAAGAATTTATGTATTTAAGAACTTTATTATTGCGTATTGTTTATAGTGTTTAACCCGTGAAGGTCCGGGTTAGAATATTGGCCTTCAGTAACCCATGCTTGTCGTAAGAGGCGACTAACGGGATCGGGTGGTCAGGCTCGCTGACTTGGTTGACACATGTCATCGGTTCCCAATTGCGCAGATCGATGCTCATGCTGTCGATCACTGGATTATCTGGTCCAGACTCGATTATTTACAGACCGCCGCCATATAGCTGGAATATTGCTGAGTGCGGCGTAAAACTAAACTCACTCACTCACTTGTAGAGTTAAAATGGTGTGCACGTTTTGCGTTAATTACCTACGCGAGATTGCCTATAGGTGTTCATGATTATACCTCTAAAACCTCACTATGGTGAATTATGTCCGAGGAACATTAATGTTTATTGTAGCCTTGACAGATTAACAGCCAGAGTGTCCGAGAAAGGATGGAGGTGGCACAGCATAAGTTGAATGAATCAATAACTTTGTCGGCACTTGTGCACGTGCTTTGCTAACACCTGGCTGTCCCTTTCTCTGCACTCCTCCCTCGTAACACATAGTGAACGAATAGTTTGTTAAGCATCCTTTTTAATTTTAGGACATAAATTCTGCAAACAAATCACAGAGTTGGTCTGATGTTTTGATTATGATAAGCGTTTCATTGATTATCATATGTTTATTAGTTTTCGAGTTAGATTGCAATTCATCGGTCCGCTTTTGAGCTAAACGCACTATCACATGGTTGACGCAAATCATCGTATCCAAAACACCTAGATGTCTGAACCCGACTTGGTTATTTACAATCCTCTTTTTTGATAACAGTATTTAACATATATAATTTAGGGGCGAATTGAGTTCACACTCTCAAGTGTCTCAATGCAAGGCAGAGAGTATGAAACGTATAATATATTTTTTTTATGCACCAGAGGTGGTTGATCAATTGTAAGCAGCAATATTGACATTTTGTGATCTTGGAAGAAATAAGTTTGGTTCACTGACAGTGTTTTGTAAGTGTTACTGGACAATACAAATGGATCTACGAGTATGATATTTGTCCAGAAGCTGTTACATCCTAATTTGGTGGATTTGTATCTGACATTTTCAGAGAAATGTATGTTATGTTTAGGATTGCACTTTCTTGGTTAAGTTCTCATTGTAGTACTCTCTTGTTTGAACCCACACTCTCAAAGTCAGGAACCAAATTGCAAGCTCCGTCACTTGGATGGAACTCAATCCCCACGATGCCAATGGAAACAGGTGAACATGAAACAGGTTCTCAGAGAGAAGCTTGAAAACACAATAATACCCACAGTATGTGTCCAATGCAGCTTGTCGAGTAGGCGCTAAAAGCTCCAACATTAGATATTCTATCAAATCTAACAGTTTTTTTCTGGTTTTCAAACAATAAAAGTCTAGAAAACATGTCCCAATTCTACATGAAAAAGTTCTTCATAATGTATCAGTGACAAACGATAGAGACGTCTGTAGAACCTGCCATGCAGTAGCATTGTCCCCTTGCACAACCATTGTATAATGCCATACACCAATTCTCACAGAGAATGCCCAATTTGAAAGACACAAATCGTAAAAAAATAAAGACAATATTTCTGTCACTTGTTGCTGTTTTATTGAAGAAAGTGTCACGAACGAAAATCAGAAATTGTAGCACTCAAGGGGAGCTTGTAACAATTCCATCACATCTCATACAATACCACCCTACACGGTCGTTGTAATCTACGTGACTGTTCTTTATGATGGCTGCATAACACATTGGAGGGAGTTTTCATTCAGAAAGTTCAGTCGTTAATCCCAAAGTTGTGGTTCGTTAAGAAAACAACATTACATGTAACACCCTTTCCCCTCAGATTTGTTTGTGAGCATTATAACAATAAACAATATCAAGTCAACGCTCTTCAAATATAATTTTATGTTGTACTGTTAAATGCAGTTCTTTATGAAAAAGAACACGACAAAAAGAATCGACATCTGAGAGGTAATATCATGAACTTCACTGACAATACAACAACATTTACAAAAGGTAATATTATTGATCAGGTTGTCAATGAATGCCTTTGGAACGTAAATTACAAATTTGCACAAAAACACTTGTTCAGATGATTAACATTCATTCCTTCTTTTTTATTATTCCCTTGTCCGTAATCCCGCTGGATCTCTGCATGAGTCTTGCCCATTCTGTCAGAATTCAACAATGATATTTTTGTAATCTACGTTACCTCACGAACTTCTTCCTTGGACGTAATAATCGTTCTCATATAGATTCATTGACAACAACTTACCATATATGAAAGTCATTATTGCTACTTGATGAGCAATGAATAAAATATTCATAACAGTTAACGGAACATGTGATAGCTATGAAGGTATTACTTGATTCATTGCAATCTACGTTACCATACTTTGAGGAACGAGTACAAGACTGAGGGGAAAGATATGTTGCAGTTTTCTTAAGAGATCGAAATATCATATGTGTAGGGTTAAGATCAATATATCTAAAAAATCTATGTGATATTAAAACAATTGATACATGCTTCACGAAATACAACTTCTATCAATATTTTGAAATGATGGCTACCGACACCCAAATATAGTGATCATTTCCAAATGCTTCTACCGAAGAAATTCTCAACAGTAGAACAATTGTTTTGAAATATTATGAAACTACATGTCTCCAATGAAGTAAATTAACAAACATTCTCACCTGTTTCATGGAGAATTACCGGAATAAAGATGAAGTTTCCCTTCCAAATTTGAATTTCGTGAAATGTCACTGAAGTGCTGCGATCATGTGACAGCAACCGGTTGTAACTGTTGTAGGTTATCAGATTATTTGCCTGGGTTCTCTGACTATGCTACGAAGCGAAATGTTCTATTTCCAGTAATATTTTGTAAGATTCCATATCAGGTGGTAACGTAGATTTCATAACGGAGATTACTTTCGCCGTTTGCAGACTACCATGATCTTGACTGGAAGCATATTGCACTCCCTTTTCGGTTTTATTACACTATGAAAACACAAAGCATTCATTCTAATCACTCTCATGGGTAGCTGTTATTCATGTTTCCGTACAGTATTGGTAACGTAGCTTTCATGCTTAACACAACTCTTTTTATAGACCTGGTTCGTCTTTGTGTACGGTTATATATTGTATGATGTGATCCAAGATGACACTGTTTGTACATATGCTATATCCAGTAAACACTTGCGAGCTTTCAAAACAATGTTTGTCAAGATATATGCATTTTACACTGCATTTTACGTTCTGTAACGTAGATTACCGCTATTGTGGCGACATATTTCGTAGTGTCACATTTGTTTTGTTTAATATGATAATCCCTGAATTTTTACATAGGTTTTACATTCATGTACGTACAACCTATGGGGAGTGATGTTAAACGCATATGATGGTAAACATACTAAGTGTATCCATTTGTTTAAACACTACAGCTTTGGCGACACCAAGAATGAAAACATTGTGACACATATGTTGGTTGTTACAAACAAAATAGCGATTACCAGTTGATTTCTACGAATTATACCAAGTTTACTTGTTAGTACTGGATGCGTATTTGACTTTTATTCGTGTTTATTCGTCTGCTAAACAAGTACACATCAAAACGACATAAGAAGTGGGCAATTTGACATTCTCTCTGAGAATTGGTGAGGCGTTAAAAGCTCCAACATTAGAGATTGTCCTTGCCCAGTGTAGACATAAGCCAGTTTTGAGTTGATAAGTGATCTGCACAAGTAACTAATAGTGAGTGAGTGAGTTAAGATTTAAGTCACATCGGCAATATTGACTAAAACTAGTTCTAAATTTATAATACATACATATAATATGTAAAACCCTGTCAACGAAGGACAGTAAAACCACTAGATTATCACAGATTGAGTTAAAACTAGCTAGCATATATCTTTAAAAGTAGAAACTTATTTCTGGACAATACAATGTAAAATTGGGCTATAGATCGCCAACAACTGAAGGTAGATCACCATACTAGGGACCATGGGGACTTACAGTGCCTTTACTACCTGCATGGACCCTAGTTGGATTTACACCATCCCTTCAGCCGCTGGCGATTGTATCAAAATTTCGCCGGCAGCTAAAAGAACAAAGATACTATGTTCAAAATATGGTAAATTTACATTTTACTTTGAAAGTTCTGGGACTTACGTACCCTCTCAGGAGGACAATAATTTTATTTAATACTAAGAAATTCCACACATGACATGACAAAAAAAGAAGCCAGTGATATTCGATTTGTATTCTGTAAATAATTTTTGAGGTTTTGTCCAGTGGATAAGTTCAGGGATAGGCAGCATAAGAACATCATCCGCATCTTCATTAATCATAAGCTTGGTTTTGTTCTTATTGTTGCACTTATGATGTGTGTAATGCTTTTAGTCGGTGTAGGTGTCTAAAATGTCAAGAAAATTAAGTTCCGGCTAATATTCCAATGTGTTTCAATGAACGTGAATGGTTACGTAGTTAAATTTTATTGAGCTAATGTACCTACATGAACTAGAAATAAATGAAGCCGATATGCTAGAATGTGTGCAAAAATACTTCTGTAAAAAAGTACAAGGGTTCTCTAAACGCACGTGCTCGGTCATTGCCAGAGACTGTCTTGGACTTGTATCACTCCGTGCGTATATTGATCAAAGAGCATTATTGTTCCTGGGAAGACTGCTTAACACTGATATTAGTTTCATTTTCAAACGAATTATTCACTATAGAATAGCTCAATATGATTGTAAGGATAGTATGCAAAACATGCTGAAGTGTAAATCCTCTCCTTTACACCATATGCTAATCTTACCTGTAAATATGATCTTACTGAATATGTTGACATTTATCATAACTCATCTGTATTTGTTACTAAAAATCAATGGTCAAATCTTGTAAGAGATAAAGTCTGAAAATTTGAAGCAAATGTCCTTACCTCTGAACGTAACTACAAAGTCAGTCTCCACCGATACGCTCTCCTACGCAATCCAGCTGCTAGTAACAAACTTTGGTTAATAGCTCTTAATGATTCAGATTATTTCTATGACATATTCTACCTTATCCGTGTCGGCACTTTCGCTTTACAATCTAAAGAATGCTTATGTGGCACAGGCTTATGACATTGTAAAACATGTATTTATCTTTTGTCCACAAACGGAATGTAACAGAGAGCGACCTCATTGATCTATTGGATGTTACAACTTTTGTAAGTGTTTGGAATGATGATGATGATGCACTGATTAGTTTTCTACTTGGAGGAGTGCCAAATGATAACATTAGAGATCTTGATACTGATCTATGGAGTCAATGTATGAAAATCACGAGTAAAGCTGTTCATGAAATGAAACGGTTTTTCATCACATGTTACCAGATTCACATCCCCCCATATATACATATATTTAAAAGTTTTTGTATTGTATAAGTTTCAAACACTTGTACTTTGTAAAATGTAATATCTCCTAAATCATGCATATGTATCTTTAATTTTGGAGGAAATAAAGACGATCAATTTAGCCATTGGCATTTTCTTTTAGTCATAGACAAATACGAGAAAAGTCTCGGAAATACTGGAAAAATGAAAGGAGAAAACAATAGATATTACGAACACATAATTATAGTAACGTAAGTATTTGACAGAACGAGAATTTCGACAAAACTTGGCAAGGGACATTGCAACCCAGAGCCGAGTTCAGTCTGTGCCCAGTTGCGTTTTCTGGTATTCATCGCGGTAGACAAAATATTTTTTTGCTTAATCATAATTTGCATATTTCATTTAGAAACTTCCCAACCTTGCTGATATGTGCCTGAGAAAAATCCATTTTTGTATTGTAGCCTTATAACTTTTATGGACTGACAGTTGATATTAGGGAAGCTGAGGTATTGCTGGCTTAATTCTGTGTTCACATGATGGAGTCAATTGACGGATTTACTGTGAAATAGACCCTAACAGAGCCGACTAATCCGCAGTTTGTGTTAAGTGAAACTGATTTAAAGGCAATTTGGTCTTGTATTTCATATATATATAATTTGATCTTTTGATTATGAATTTGTCTGGGTGTCGTGATCTGGGAATGCTTCCTAGCCCTAAGTGTCCTTTGTCACTATTTTTCCCAGGTTGCCCAAGAAATGTTGACAGTCCAATGTATTAACATGTACAGATGATACCTTTCATAATCAGTAGATTGTACTTAAATATTAGAGAATAGAAAGGGATAGATAAATTAAGATTCGTTAATGGGCATTAAATAATACTTACTGATTATAAGTGTAAGATACCATGAAAAAAGTTTCTTCTCCACTAATTTAAAACCACGGTCGGGTAGGATAAGCTCATCGTTTCATGAGAAAACCCTGCGATTAAATTTGGTTAAAAGGCGTGCAAGTTGAGTAGGCGACTGAATACATTGGGTCAGACTAAGCGTCTTGGCTGATGACGTGTCAACCTAGCCGAAGTGATTGATGCTAAACTCCCAATATACAGGCCGTCATATGGCTAGACGCCAAGTGCACAGTCTATTTTGTTCTGGTCTGTCGTAGATTTTTAGACTAAGTTGAAATTTGTTTTCAATGCCCATCAGCTTCTGGCATCAGATCATAAGAATACCAACCGCAACATGTCTCGTGAAAATTAAGATCGTTAGAAGCTGTTACAGAAGTTTCTTGCAAGTTCTCGTTACTATGAATGAAACCAATAAACATTCCAAACACACTGTGTCGTTATCTGGCTATGGTATGGTACATTTGTCCTGGAATGCCGAGGACAGCATCATAGAGACTTTGATCACACATCATTTCGACCCACTTTTATTCGTCTTGCCTATTACTAGACTTTCTATGTTCAATAGTCTCTCTGTAAATAGTTTTAACTAATTTTTTTCTCCTATAGTATTGTAGCGCCATGAGCGGGTATTAGTACCTGGATGTAGCGCTATATAAATACCCACATTATTATTATTATTATCATGCAGCAGTGTAGGCAACTACACAATGATACGGACACTCCGGGACGTGGAAAGCGGGAGAAGGTATGCTCTCGCACCAGGACAATGCGATATTGTCATTGCTACCATCCATAAGTGTTTCTTTGAACTAACCCACTTTATACCTCAGAGTCACACAAACGTTCATCTGCTCCCAACCACGCAGGGAACTACAATCTGATTGAACTGATGATGAAGTCAAATTAGCTGTGGGAAGATGTCTGGATAGTCAAACAAAGGCAAAAAGTGGCACGATATCGTCCAACAAAGTATATCAACGTGGATTGTGGCAAAATGTATCAGTGTTTTGAGAGGATAATGTTGCCGAAACAATATGACTTTAAGGTCGTCAGGGCTTTTGTTCTCAGGTAGGCCCAAACGTGACATCTAACAACAAAATACTGGTTCACATTATTTTGCTCAATAGCGAACCAGTGAAGGAATCAGAAATCAGGAGATCTGGTGATGACAAAGCATCTCATCTTGGTACCGTCAATTGTGGAGTTCAGGGATTGTAACAAAAAGAGGGATTCACGACCAACACCCACATCCACTAATGATTCATCTGGGCGCAGAACTGTAGAATTTAAGTCTCCGTTTGAAACTACAGCGAAAACGTAAAAACTAAGATAATCAGTATGTTTGAACCATGACTCCATCTCAACGTTTATTTAATTCCAAGCAATGTTACATTCTACATTTGAAGCGTATGTAATCAGCCAAATGAAAGTCGTGTTATTCGTTCATGTGACACGATCGTGGACCTATGCCTCTATGTCCACCACAACACATTTTTATTGGCTTTTTGTTATTGTATGTACATTCTCCTTGTTCAATAAGAAATGCAAACGTTTGTCCTTGTTATAGAATATTTGTTTTGTCCCGATTTTGCTTAAAACAATATTCCAGCTGCAAGGCGACTGTTTATATTGTATTTATGTTATCTTATGTCCATTCTCATTGATCATTAACAAAATGAAACGTTTTTCCTTGTTATAAAGTTTTCTCACTCACTCACTTTGATGTTTTGTACTAATTTCGTTTGAAGCAGTACACCACCAGTATGGCGACTGTCCGCACAAAGAAAGTGTTTCTCATGATCACGTTTCATGAAGAATCTGATGTGCCCTGTTTCCCTGTTTGACGCTCTACTCTAACCACATGACGACTGTCTCTATCAATTCTCTATCAATTCTCATAATGCTTTTCTCATAAACAGTTTTCATTAAGAATTTGATTTCCCTTAATACTTGTTTGACACCGCACTCAGCAATAGTCAAGCAATATGACGATCGTCTGTAATTTTTTCTCATTAAGATTTTGTTTTTTCATAAACATTTATTATCAAGTATTCGTTTTGCCTTAATTCTTGCTTGTTGCTGCATTCGGCAGTATTCAAGTTATATGACGACCGGCTGTAAATATTTGAATAAAATAACACCAAGATAATCAACATCATCATCAGTGATGTATGCAACTGGGATTACGACACGCGTCAACCAGCCTGCCAGAGTCAGAGAGCCTGACCACGAGATCCATTTAATCATCTTTTACGACAAGCAGAGATTCGGGTTGCTGGATATCAATTCCTACCAGCAATCCCAACGGAGTGTTAAACTCGTTATTCCTGAATGAGAGACACTTAATATCAGTTGACGATCTAATCCGTAAAATGTACTGCTCGTTTCATATCCTACGGTGGAGGAGAGAAGAGACACAGAACCTATTAATAATGGTTATTCTTCGTGGTTAGTGTGGTGATCTACCTTCAGTTGTTGGCGACCTATAGCCCGTTTTTATATTGTATTGTCTTCGTAAATAAAATAGTTTTACATGTTCATGCTAGTTTTAGACTCCATCTGTGATACTCTAGTTATTTTACAGTCCTGCGAAAATAAATAAACGTTTCCTGCCCCATTGTTGACGACTTAACTTTATTGTTTATGTAAAACATTTCTCGTCACTATCTGGCTGAAATATTGCCGAGGTGACGTTAAATTTTACCTCACTCACTCATTTTTCATGGTTGACAACATTAAGGGAACGACTTTGATTGTTGTTCACAGTGTACGTCCAATGAGAAATTAAAAAAAAAACATGCTTGAGTCAAATGTAGAGATCTTACAAATGAAATGATATGTATGATCAATATTCCACAGATCAATATATACGATAACTACCGTTCAATAATCAAGTCTGGGCCAATGCGTATGGATCCCAATTGGGATACGGTGATATATAATCAAGCCAACCACTAAGCTCCAGCCGATCCATAGCTTACTGGTGACCTAATGCCCAAGGGCCTTGCAAAATTGCTGCTCTTTACATTAGTTCCGAGAGAGGAAGGAAGCTATTTAGACCCAGTTGATGCTTCAATGTCTGTGGTCATGCAGTATTGATGGTTGTTACGATTAGCATGAATGGGAGCACTATTCAGTTCGAAAATGGCAGCAAGTACCACATATTGTGATGATTAAACTTGACATTTCAATTCTACTTGGTGCCTTCATTCCATATGTCACTTCATGGCATTGACATCCCTGCCAATATACAGAAACAAAACCAATTTCCATTTCTACCCAAAGCAGAGTACATTATACGAATCCGTGTGTATCATCAACATGTGTTTTGATCACTATAGATAGTATTGATACCGGTTTTTGGCGAAAATAAATAAACGTGTCCTGCCCCATTGTTGACACCCGTCACAAATCACAAATAGAGATGGGCGATAATACCAGTTAACGGGTATTTAGAGAATAGCCAACGAGGTACGAGTGATTACGGAAAATATGCCTTGGCGAGGCACTGAACATTATTTCAACGAGGGCATATTTCCCGTAATCACTCGTACCGATTTGGTTATTCTATTTATTACCCATAATGTAATTCAAAAAGAAGAACCACGAAATAAATACCACCCGGAGACAGGACTTGTGACCTCAAACAGCTGATTCGTATTCATTCGCATATTAAACTTCTCCAGGGGTAATAACATAACTACGCTATGGAAAATAGTACCTCGTAAAATCGCTTTAGAATACAACAAAAACATTTTTTATGGTATAGTTTATTAACATTTGTCAATATGATAAAATTTATATTTTAAATACAATATCATTGAACTTAATAACAGCTGAAACGTTATTTGATCAAGTCAGTGCGCCGGAGCATCGTTCATTCACCTCTG